GGGGGAGAGGAAGAAGAAGAAGAAGAAGAAGAAGAAGAAGAAGAAGAAGAAGAAGAAGAAGAATTTTTATTTATTAATATGCCACTTATCTGACTGGGTTGCAAAGAATACTACTTTGAACATGCTTTGAAAGTATGCCCAGCCTAAGATTTGAAGTTTTGTGGAATTTAACATTTGTTTAACCAGTAAAACAATCCTTCTGCTTGTACATTTGTTTATATTTCACTATTTATATGCTCACTCTTATTAAGCACAGTATAGTATGCTTAATAACAGTATAGTACGCAGGTGGCGCTGTGGTCTAAACCACAGAGCCTAGGGCTTGCCGATCAGAAGGTCGGCAGTTTGAATCCCCGCAATGGGATGAGCTCCCGTTGCTCGGTCCCTGCTCCTGCCAACTTAACAGTTCGAAAGCACATCAAAGTGCAAGTAGATAAATAGGTACCGCTCTGGCAGGAAGGTAAACGGCATTTCCATTCACTGCTCTGGTTCGCCAGAAGCAGCTTAGTCATGCTGACCATACTGGCTCCCTCAGCCAGTAAAGAGAGATGAGCGCCGCAACCCCAGAGTCGTCCGCGACTGGACCTAATGGTCAGGGGGCCCTTTACCTTTACCTAGTATGCTTAAGAGGAGTATTCATGAATACTTTAGGGACAACACTAAGCTATAGGTAGCCAAGCTATAGGTACCTGTGCAGCTGGGAACTGTACCATTCTGAGACAGAGCATATATTTAAAACACATGGCTTCCCTCCCCCCATTCTCAAATCCTACCGACAGCACCACCACATTCCATGCTATAACCCTCACAGAGCTACAATTCCCTAGCGCCTTTAGAAAACTACAGTTCCCAGGATTCTTTCGGGGAAGTAATGTGCATGAGATGTATGTTGTGGATGTGACCAGTCACTCACCAGCCACAAAACAAAGAGAGCAAAAAGGGAGGAGGGACACAAGCAGTCTGGAGGCCGCAAGCAAAAATTTTGGATCATGCCACACAAGGCCTAATCCAGACTGTTGTCCAGGCAAATGATCTAGGTCTGGTATGGAAGAGTTTATAGCCAGGCTGGTTAATGGTCAGCAGGGCCAGATTTAGGTTTGATGAGGCCCTAAGATAATGAAGGTAATGGGGCCCTTTATATGCCCAGCTGTCCTTTGTCAACAACAAATTGTCGCTGTTTTTTGTAATTTATGGACCTAATAGGTATCTAAAGTCATTTGCACACAACAAAATATGTATTATATCAAAGTAATTGTCAAACTTCTATTTTGGAAATGTACGGTACATTCCCCCCCCCCTTTAAATAAGCTATAGCTTGTTTAGTTTATACATAAATCCAGTCAGTGAGGAAGGCAGAGTCATGTTTCTAATATTTCCTTTCAAGCAACCATCAAACCTGTGGATATTAGGAAGAGACTTTTTGGGTTTAGGCTCAAGATCCTAGCACCCCATGAACTCAATCTGGAAAATTACCCTTCATTTATGTCTAGTATTTTGTTTTTCTTATTATCAAAAAGTCTGTTTTGCTCATGCCACTCCCTAGAATTCATTGATCCTGAATGTGCTATATATATAAATAAGAAAAGGTGTTATCTTGGCTCCCAGAGCATTCATTTGAAATCCCAGTTACGTTATTGAGTAAGGTGGCAGCTGAAATGTTTAGCTAAACCATGTTAAATCTGTTTGGCCATTTGCATACTTTCAATATATTATTTAGTCCTTGTCAGTATTCATGTAAGAGCCAGTCTGTGAATGGATGACAGACAGCATCTACTGTATGGCGAACCTGCAGCCTTCCAAATATTGCTGAACTCAAAGCCAGTAGTCAGGGATGGCAAGAGCCACAGTCCAACAACATCAGGATGGCTAAGGTTACCCACCCCCAATACAGTCTGTCTCTTACACACATACCTGATGGAAAGCAAATGAATATTCATGTCCAGTGGCATACATGTGCATTTTCCCTAAAATGTATATAAGGCTTGGTTGTGAAAAACAAGCTCTCAAAGTGTGAGGGTGCACACACACACACTTGGGAGTTGCTATGGAGAAAGTTTTTAGAGGAGGATACAAATACAGTGGTACCTCGGGTTAAGTACTTAATTCATTCCGGAGGTCCGTTTTTAACCTGAAACTGTTCTTAACCTGAAGCACCACTTTAGCTAATGGGGCCTCCTGCTGCTGCCGCGCCGCCGGAGCACGATTTCTGTTCTCATCCTGAAGCAAAGTTCTTAACCTGAAGCACTGTTTCTGGGTTAGCGGAGTCTGTAACCTGAAGCGTATGTAACCTGAAGCGTATGTAACCCGAGGTACCACTGTAAGGGGAAAAACACATTTGGTAGTGTAATTAGGATATATTCATCTTTCTAATAAAATTGCTGCTTGGGTTCTGCTTTGGAGACCAATAGGTCTGCTTTTAGAAGCCTCCAAAAGGAGGCTAGTATGCAAGGAAAAATCAAAGGGTGGTGGTGGGGTTTTTTTTGGGGGGGGGGAGAAGAGCTTCCTTGCTCTTTGCCCTAAAGCAAGGGAAAGCAAAGACTTTCTGCTGCTGACTGAGCCTCATGAGTTGGATTCTGATCTTCGTTACATGTGAATTAATCTGGACTGAATTTATTGGCTTTGACAGCTGTAAACAGTGGAAGAAGTAAGATAGCTAGCAAGCCCCAGATTTGCCACCCAGATAAGCCTGCCCAGTGCCTGAGCTACCAGAGGAGGCTGGTTACTTTCAAGCTCCCTGCTCAGCCTGTAATCACCCAATATTGAAACCAGATTTACTGGCTCTTTTGAGGAGGGCTCTTTCCAAAGCAGACACATTTGGTATTTCGGAAGGTCAACCCCCCTGTGGTGTAAGGGCTTTTTAAAAGAATCAGTTAAGCAGGAGTCAAGAGGAGAGGCTGGAATCAGTAGGACACAAGAAAAGCTGGAGAGAAGGGAGGGCCTTGGAGATCAGAAACAAGGAAGGGCCTTAAATGAGAGACATGCAGCCCATTCTTCTCTGATAATTTTGAAACCAGTCCCAGTGTTCTCAATAGAGCTTACTCTGAAGTAAACATGTTGAGAAGTGTAAGCCAAGACATTTCAGGTACTGGTCTTTATTTTCCCCCAATCTGGTTGATGTCCTCTACTTATGGATATGAAAAATCATGCGTTGTCTGTGGTTTATACCACATCAACAGCAATAAACTGTGGGGTTATCACAACTTCTGAATGCTCGCAAAACATAGTTGGGGTGGGCAGGCGCCCCTGAACACCAAACATTAGTGCTGCTTTAAAAGACCCATTGACTGCAGCGGACAAGCACAATTGTCTGGATCGTGCCCATTCAGCTACTTCCCACATTAGCAAATGGGAGCAGATAAAAACAGCTCTCGTTTACCCAAAATTCTTGCTTGCCAGGCCTACCATCCAGTACAGTGGTACCTCGGGTTACATACACCTCGGGTTACATACGCTTCAGGTTACAGACTCCGCTAACCCAGAAATAGTACCTCGGGTTAAGAACTTTGCTTCAGGAGGAGAACAGAAATCGTGCTCCAGTGGCACGGCGGCAGCGGGAGGCCCCATTAGCTAAAGTGGTGCTTCAGGTTAAGAACAGTTTCAGATTAAGAACAGACCTCTGGAACGAATTAAGTACTTAACCCGAGGTACCACTGTAAAACTCCTCTACAGAGCTGGCCGTATTTTCGGTAGAGGGAGACTTCGCTTCCCCAGGCCATTGTACATTTCTCCATTTAGACATTTCAGAAGGTATAAGATTGTTTTGGTGTTCTTCCATTGCAGCCTCAACCCATCCCATATTTAGTATTCCACCGATACCAATGTTGAAACAGCACTGGCAGCGGAGACTAAGACAGCAGTCTTATGCATGCTTACCTGGGACTATGTCCCAGTGAAGTCAGCAGGAATTAGTACCAAGACAGGCAAGCAGGAGCCATGTAGAATACATATAGTCAGATGAAGACAGAAAACTGGTGACAGTATGTACCACTTTTGGCAATACGTTGGAAAGACAGTCCACCTTTTATAACACTCCTCATTTGGTGCGGAGGGGAAGAGAATCCCCACTGAAACAAAACTATCAGGAAAGCTAAGCTGAACACTTTCCCCTGACCTCCTAGCTTTCTGCATACAGGGCTAGGTTATAATTAATGGCCAGCAAGTCAAACCCCGCACCTGCAGATAATAGTTGCCCTAGCAAAACATAATCAAGGCAGGTAAACCATTTTGGTCATGTTTGAGAAAGAATTTGAAGGAGCATCCACAGATATTTCACAATGATGTTAGTGCATTGTTATATCATATTTGGGGAAGGCATGAAGGACTGCTGCCCACCTGTCTGCTGAATAAATCTTTCATGCATTGTCATTTATTTGTATCTCACCTTTCCTGCAAGGAGCTCAAGGTGACATATAGGTGTTTGTTTTTCCCCCTGCTCCCTATTTTAACCTGTGGAAGTGTGTCAGGCCAAAGGGTCACCCATGGAGCTTCATTACCAAACGGGGATTTGAAGCTAGGTCAACTTCAACCTTCTCCAACCACTGTAAAACCCAGGCCTTCCTGCTAACAGATTCCAGAATATGCCTGGAATATTTTAGACTCCAAGAAGACACAAGTTGTCTGACTATTCTGTTCCATGCTGCCTAGGGGAAGATTAGAATCTGCATGATACAGAGGCTGTAGCTGGACCACATATATCAGAAACTGCTAGGATGCTATTTGCCTTTAGAGCAAAAGGGCATGAAATACGTTTTTCTCCTGTTTGGAAAGCTGAAGCATTGAAAAGGCTAGCAAGGGGAGGCAGCAGATTCAGGTTATGTGACTTTACCTGGATGAACACCAGAGTTCACTTACGTGAACCTGATTAAACACGAAAGGAAACTCTACGGTTAACACTTTATGCAGTGCTTCTACTAGAAGGGTAGTGCTTCTTACACAAAACCACAAAATAGGTTTCACACAAATATATATATATATAATTATATATATTTTAAAAATCTTTACATCAGAACTTGCATACAATTTAATAGTATAACTCAAAATTTCCACCTCCCTACAGCTCAGACAACCCTGGTAACAGTGTGTACAACTTCTCGGTTTTTTTGCTTTCATAACTTTAAAGCAAACAATACACTTGAATGTATTTACTCTGTGCAAATAAGGTAACTTTTGGGATCCTTCAGAAGACATATATCCAAGGTTCAATCTGCAGAGGTCCTTTGTTTTCTTAAAAAACACGATTAATGACTGTAGGCTTTCCCTGTATAAAGTGCTCCTGTCCAGCAGAACCCAAAGGCCTTGGAAAAGTTTTCCTAGCAATTTTAAAGAACAAAATTTTAAAATATAGTTATATATATATATATATATATATAAAAAGACCAAAAGGCGACGTGATCACACAAATTCCAGCTTTCCATGCCCGCCATACATTCCCCAGTGGACTAGCGAGAGTATTTTGTCACTGCCCAAGTCCGGCTGCCTCATCTTCTCGCAGGTCATGCAGCAGTTCTCGTGCCCCGTGACTGGCACCATGCACTCCAAGTCTAGCTTGGCAACCTGCCCCTTTTTGGAATGATGCCCGTGGAAGCTGTAGTGCAATCGGGACAGCATCTGCTGCCGCTGGTCTTGCAGTCTTTTGTTCTCGCTCCTGAGCATGCGCAGAGCTAGCATGATAAGGAGCACCAGGATCAGCCCGCCAGCGATGGGGACGGCGATGACAGCTGCCCGGAACCACAGTTCTTTGGAGGAGGTCAGCTCCTGAACCTTCGTGATGAGGTTTCTGCTGCCCTCGTGCTGGTATCTGCTCCCTTGTCCTGCAAGAGAGGAGAGACGGATGGTGTTCAGAAAGGTCCCTTCTGCTCCACATGAAGCCTGTGTTTCAACCGCAAAAAGTGGAAGCTTCCCCAAGCCCCTTTCTTTTTAAGACTACCCTCTCAGGGGATGGAAGGGGGGAAAGGTCTGCTCATTTCAAAGAGAGATGCTCCCTACATTTTTCTCCCTAATCTGATCACGACCCAAAGCTTGCCAGTTCTAGAGAAACTCGGCTATTTGCTTAGGCTACACTGAATCCAGAGAACTCTATTGCTCTCCAGACATTGTTGAACTCCCTCCTCCCATCAGCCCCAGGTCAAGGGCCAGGGTGGTGGGGGTTGTAATCCAGCAACATCCAGAGGGTCACGGGTACCCCAGCCCAGGGTTATGAAGTAATGTGACATCACCAGTGTTAACCCTTGTTACAAATTACCACTGTATTTGGAACCAGTGTGCGCCAGACAGGAGGGCATTTCCATGGCCTTAGGTCAGGGGTAAGCAACCTAAGGCCCGGGGGCTGGATTCTAACTCTGGCCCATGGACAGTCCGGGAATCAGCGTGTTTTTACATGAGTAGAATGTGTGCTTTTATGTAAAATGCATCTCTGGGTTATTTGTGGGACATAGGAATTGGTTCATTATGTTTTTTTCAAAATATAGTCTGTCCCACCACCTGGTCTGAGGGACGGTGGACCAGCCCACGACTGAAAAAGGTTGCTGACCCCTGCCTTAGATGTTCACATACTACCAAAGAAAAACTAAGGTAAATGTGGTGTTATATATGGACACTAGGAACCCAGCTTTCAATTCAGCAGCTCTACGCTTCTGTACGTATTACATGCTTAGGTACACAAAAAATGTAATGAAATATTGCAGTGCATTTATCCAGCATAGGGAGAAACACCAAGGAGATAGGACCAGACTGAAACTATTTGCTCAGTGTTTGCAGAGGCAAATCCCGGTTTGTTCCAAAGCACATGGAAATTTCAGCTCTGCAATTTACAAGGTGAGCCATGGGGCAAGTTGCTATCTCTTCTTTTCACACGATTGCAAAGATAAGAGTTGTGAGGTGCTTTAGCAAGCCACACAAAAAAGGACTATCATAGCAGGCATTGGGTTTTGATGTACTAGTGACTATCATTACGGAAGCAAATACAAAACAATTGCTGCACCCCATGTACAAAAAGCAGCTAGATGGTCCCCACCCCCTGCAAAGTATTGATTTTGGACTTTTGGCTAAGCTTTACTGTAGGAATGGGGAAGTCGTGTCCTCCCCTAACAGTGGACTACAACTCCCATCATCTCGGACCAATGGTCGTGCTGGGTGGGGTCGATGGGATTTGTAATCCAACATCCCAAGGACCACAAGCCTTCCATGCAAGGAAACATCAACTTCAATGTTATGAATACACCAGGCACATCAATTCAATTAAATGGATACACCCAGTGATGGAGAGATTTATTTTTATTTTACTTCCATGACCTGCAGGGCATAAGTGAAATTGCAACACCGAAGTTTGTTGAGTCAGATGAATTATTTGCATACTTTTAAATAACTAACTTCACCCGGCTGTGGGAAAAGTCGTTGGGACTTTATTCTCTTTGACTTGATGATTTCACCTTCGTGTATGCAAAGTAACAAAGCAGCAGATTTAAATTAAAAGCTGTGTGCATGTTTTCATTAAAGCTTAACAGGCTTCCATAAAGTTCATTCGCACATTCTAATAGTTTTATTTTCCCCTGACTAAATTGGGCACAATTAGGTTTCTTAGAGTAGTGTCCCTCCCTGAACAAGTTTTCCCAGGCAAGATGCCAGGCCTGCTTGAAAAGGAGCAAACTTTGTGTCTCATGCTAATGCAGATACAAAGATATTTGGCAGAGATCTGTCTAGCCACATGCCTCCCACTCCAGCGTGCCTAGTTGTATTAAAAGACCAAAATCATTAGCAGACAAAACAAGGTCTTGCCTGTTGCAAGCAAACTTATGTATCAGACAAGAGCACGACTTACCCGAAGGCTCCCCTCTGGAAGGAGAGAGAACATCGTACAGCCCTCTGTAGTTGCACATATCTTCGTGACAACACTCCAACATAGGAATGGCAGTTCCAGAGTGGTTTTGGGTCTGTTTAGCTTGACAGATGTTCGATGTGCTTGCAAGTGAGTCCAAGCAGCCATGAGTAAGTGGGGAATGGCTGTTCTGAGGGTCAAGCAGTCTAGAGAAGCAAGCGTTGAGCTCAGATTTGCACATATAGCCTGTTGCAACACAGTGTGCAGCATCACAGTAGCATCTAATTTCACCTGCAACAAAAGTAAAGTGGCAAGCTTGTTAGTCCGCAGCAAATCAGTAAGGATTTAGACACCCCTGTATCTTCAATACTGGCATTAAGATGGGTGGGTAACAAACAAAATAAGTTTCTCTTTTGAAAGCAGGCTTGGAGACGGAGCCCTCCAGAAGTTTGTTGGACTACACCTCCCATCATCCACGATAAGTGCAATGCCCATACTGGCTGTGGCTGATGGGTGTTGTAGTCCAAAAGCATCTTGAGGGCACCACGATGACTATCCCTGCTATAGATCAAGGATTCCAACACAGATCTCTATAGAACTGGTCAACAGAGCTGCGCATAGCCATGGGAAAAGGCAATCAATTAATACTCCTATTGTACAGGCAAGCATCTCCAGGAAAGATATATAAGCAAACAGGACATGGCCAATCATGGTACAAAAACAATTTTCCTGGCAATTTTGCCACACCACCGAGACATGGAAGCGCTTCCAGATTTTCTGCAGACCATCCAGAGATCTACCTTTCGTCCATCCCTGGCTCTTGCTCTGCACAGTGTACAAGATCCCCATAGCAGGCATGACAAATCGGAGTCCCTGTGGGGAGGATGGTGTTGCATAGAATCCGTCCGAAATTGCCACCTCATGGGAGGAGCTGCCATGTGTAGGTGGGCTTTAACTTACTTAGCCAAAGAACTGGGGAGAGGGGCATAACCTCTTATGCAAAACTGAAGACAGCATCCGTGTGCCCCTCAAGTAGGCACAAAGTTGTAAGAGTTTCCATCAAAAACTGCAAGCTGGCTGGTTCTGCCCCACCTGCAGAACCACCAGCAATTCAGCTACAGTGGAACAAGTCACCACTCTAGCAGCTGAAGCAGTAGACGAATGGGGATTAGGGTGCTTATTCCATATGAAGCAAAGTTCCATAGGCAAAAATCTGTAAACTGGTCACTTATCACATACCAGCTCATCTCCAGGACTTTGGGCAGCAATGACTCCCCCATTTAGCATCTTTGCAAATCTGCAGGTACTTGTCCTTTACATTACCTTTGATACTAGTTATTATAAACCAAGGCTGAAAACCCTGTGGCCATTCAGATGTTGCTGGAATACACCTTCCATTTATGCCCAGCCGTTGGGCTATGCTGACTTAGGCTTATATGGAAACTGAACCTACTGCAACTGGTTCTCCATCTCTGCTCTAAAACGAAACCTACATTGCATACGTCAGCATATAGCAAAGTCAAAAGCACACTTCAAATATTTACGCCTGGCAGAATTAATCAAAGTGGTTGGAATTGTTTACTGCCTTTTGGCACGGTGCCGATATTTAAGAGCTTTAGCCAACACCTTATGAAATTATGTACTAAAATCATGCATGCATTTTTATTTAAGTTAATTCTTAACACAAGGATTTCTTTGTTGGGTCCATCTAACCCAGCGTTTCATTTCCAAAAGTAGCCCCTGGGAAACTCACGAAACAGGACATAATGACAATAGCCACACATCCCATGTGCGCCAAGCATCTGGCTTCTCACAGCATCATCTTCTCATGCAAAATATCTTTTTAGTCTTTATTATAAAACAGGAAATCTTTAGTTTACAATCAGAGTGTCTTGCTCACCAAAATCAACCTCTTTCAACTTATATGAAAGCTCATAAATGGGGGAGGTGGCAAGACTGAACCCTCCTTCCACCACCTCCCTTCCCCCCACTCCCCACTCCCATCATGTGGTCAAAAAGGGTAAACATTTGGACTGGAAATCCTCTACTGTTTGTATGGAACAAAAAACGCACAGGAAACCACAAAAATTTCAGAAGGAAGTGCTTTAAAAAACATATTCGTTTTACATTCTTCAGAAATGCATTCATTTTACTATACAGAGAAACTGTACTGTCTTCTCGACGTTTCAGCTCAAATCTGTTCCATCAGTTCAGAGAATGGAAGGAAGGAAGGTGGGAGGCAAGCTGGATCTGTCTCTCAGCTTCAGAAACTACTGGAGGAAGTGTATTAACAACCACAGTGATGAATAGCACTTATTTTAGAAAAAAAGGGGGGATTCAGCCAGAAGAGAACTGCCACTTATTCCTTTAAAAAAAAAGTGAAGCCCTTAAAATCATAACTTCCTTCTGCCAAATTAAGAGTTATATTTAATTTTACCACCCAGGTCATATTGCACTATATATACTACGTCCCAGGTTATGCTTAAGATATGAATTACAAACACATTTACACATACATACAGTTCTGCAGGGCTCGCCTTCCAGACTATCTTAAGTTCAGCCTTCCCTAGAATGCCATTACATTTTAATAAACTGCTTAATCAAAGCCAAATGACACAGTGCCCGTATGTAAACAAGCTTGCCCCTCATTTGTGTAAATGTGTGAAGCAAGATCTGAAGCCCAAGCCTGCCAAAGAATACATGCAGTTCAAAAGCTTGCTTAAACATTCAGAGAACTAGTTTGACAGAAAGCATTTCCCTTATTCAGTTGCTTGAAAGTCTTTCATCACAGAGATGAAATAAGTGTTTGCATTTTTGGGAGTCCCTTGAGGTTCTCCACCAAAACAGGTAACCAGAGCAAGATTCAAAAAATAATATGGGATGTGTTACAGGCGACATTCACGTTCCGGATATCCTTCTTCAAGCAGTTGGGCCCAGAAGTCCAATGTTCTTAGATTTACAGAAGGCACTTCTCTTTCCTTAAGGATTTCTGTTCCGCCGCCACCAATCATGTAACTTCCTAAGTCCCCTTTTCGAAAGCAAATGTCATTTAAGCAACTATTGTCCAGCAAGTCAAGTCCGACGGCTGAGCAGCTTTCACTGAAACAAGTTGTGGATAAACACAAAACACTCTTTTTGGGGGTGGGGAAGGAGGAAATCTATAAGCTAGTCCTTTCTCACTCCAGTCTTAAGAGAGCATCACAAGAGAGAAAATGTGTGTTTCAATCGTTCGTACAATACTCTTTTCCTGACCAAGCACAGTGTCATAAACAAAACATGACGGACTAGTCATCGGGTTATTACAACTCCATTTTAATTAGACACATTCCACCACCTCCCCCTCAGCAGAAGAGAATGGCATTTTTGTGTTATCGTATTTTTGAAGGGGGGGAACAAACCTTTTATTTCTGTCAATTCATAAAGTTTCTTCCTGAGCTATGGAAAAGGCCAGGGAGGGTATTTGGTATTTTCAAACAGTGAACAATGCCCTTTCTGTTCCCCTCCTCTTTCTTGTTACTGTATGTAGCTATTAAAGAAAAATGTCTGCTTTTAGTCAAGGTGGCTACAGGAGAGACTGCAGGCTTCTCCGAAAGCTTTTGAAGTCGACAGCAGCCAGAAGTCTGTGATCCCCTAATTATATCATTATCAGGCGCATAGTTTCAGTATCTGCAACTGCACATTACTCTCAGTCACTCCCTTCTCTGCCCCTCTTTGATGGGGCCAGAAGACTTCCCTCTGCTTGCTGCAAGGGCTGTTATTTGGGGTTAATTACACCCTTCTTTCCAAAATAAATAAATACTGTAGCACATCAGCACTGCGCTAGCTTATCCTTTAACCTCCTCTCTGTGAAACGTGGCAATTATAGGGAGACATCAACTCTCCCATTCCCTCCTCTCCCATTCCCTCCTCTCCCTTCCCCCAGTTAAGTTTTTATTCTTTTAAGTGGCGAGGAGGGAAGAAGAGTGTGGATTGTGTGAGCTCACACACACACACAGGAAGTTTCAAACATTTGCAGCAAGATGCTTAACAGTTCACATCTCATATTAGTGGGGTCACCTCTCACAATCAGGGGTGCACAGCCCAATCCTGCACATGTTTACTCAGAAGTAAACATCATCTGTAAATTAAGGGATTCAAGTGCTGGTTCACAGGATCACACAGCCTGAACACAATTTTGGTTGTTGCCGCTTTGCAGGAGCAAACTTCTTTCAAGTCCCTTACTTGCATGGGCTGGATTTCTCCTCTAGCCACGAGGGATAAGGGAGGGCATACAGTCGGGTCTCTTTCCAATTTTACCTTATCAACAGGTAAAGCCGCAAACCGGTAACGCTTGCCTTGGGCCAGCGCTGCTTTCTGGAGCTGGGAGAGGGAGAGGGAGTGGGTGGGTGTGGGCTGGAGACGTTCAGAAGTTCATTAAAGACATGCTAACAAAAACATTTTGACAACCGCTTGCCCCTAAGGTCTGACTTCCCTCAATGAAGCGGGGCAAGGCTCTGGCGGGGGGCGGGGAAAGGGGAAGGAAACCCAAGCAACGCCACTTCCAAGAACAGGCGAGCTTGTTCTGGCCTGCGAAGCTCAGCCCAGGAGGAAACATGACACGCTCACAAAGCCTTGGCAGAGCGCTTCAAAGGCCCCGCCGGGCCGGGCGCACGGAGCTCGCTAGCCGCAGGAGGGGAGAGCAGCGGGAGCAGGAGCAGGAGCAGGAGAAGCCCCGGCCGGGCAATTGCCCCGGGGAAATGGCTACCGGGCTTGCCTCGCTGGCTGGGAGCTGCTGCTGCTGCTGCCGCCGCCCCACCAAGCCACCTCCGACGGGCGGCAACCCCAACCAAAAGAAAGCTAAGCCCGCTTTTGCTTCTAGCAGAGCAAACGGACACCCCGACGTCACCCCCAGATTTCGCTCCCCAGCCTGGGGAAAGGAAATAAAAGCCGGGGCTTGAGACCGCACCAGGCTGCTCCCCCAAATGCAACCCCCTGGAATGGCTGCTGCGCGCACACAGCCCTTCTTGACGGTCACTGCCAACGCGCACCCGCCACCGACGGCGTCCCTCCAGAGCGCGTCGCTAGGGGAGCTAGCGGGAGGGAGGCAGCTGGGCGAGCCTCTGCAACCCCGACGGGGCGGCGGCTGCTGCAGAGACCCTGGGCGCCTTTGGCGAGGGAATTGGAAGAGGCCCGCAGCCGGGTTTACGCGCGAGGCTGGGCGCAGTCGGGCTTCACCCCCGGCCACCCAGGGCGGGAGTTGCTACGGATCAGCCCCAGCTTGGAACGCGCCTCCTTGCAAGTTTTAAATCCCGCTCTGTTTCGCTTCGAAGGCGAGGCCAAGCCTCTCCTGGATGCCGCCGCCGCCGCCAGCCCAGAGGACGACAGCAGCGCCCCCTTCCGCAGGTCGCGCGCTCCTGCACCCCCCGCCCAGCCAAGGCCCATCTCTCTTCGGGAGAAAGCCTCCGGGTGCTCCCGAGTACCCGCCCCGTCTCCTCCAGCAGCCCTCCCCCTGACCCTACAGGAAGCCTCGCAGCAGCTCTTCAAAGGCTTCCCCCAGGGCGACAATCCTCACGTTAAGCCTTTGTACGGTTGTCAACACGCACCAGCACTCGCCAGCCCACCACGCTGCTCTGCAAAACAACCCCAGGCCCACGCCTCCCTCTTCGAGGAGTTTTCTTCATCCCGGGGACTAGGATAGGTTACACACACACACACGCTTCGAAACAGTATTTCATCGTATTTTGTTTTGATCCCCCCGCTCTTTTTAGGGCAAAAAAAATCTGAAAGCTGCCGAAGGATCGAAATGCATTAAATAAGGCATCTCAAAAGGAAGGGAGCTTTCGTGAACCGGGCTGGATTTAGAGAGGGGAGCTGCTTGCGCCAAAAAGAGCCCATAATCCGGTCCTGCGCATGTTGACTTGGAAGCGAGCCCCACTGAGTTCGGGTGCAATACTAGTCGTGCTTTTCTACTGAACACAAATGGGGCTTGCCTCTGAATAACCATGCATAGGACAGCACGTACACTGCAATATGTTAAGTGGTGCTAGTTTTACGTTATCCTATTTCCTCTTCTTTGGGAATAAATACCATCAGGTCCGTGCGCCTTGCACAGGACCGGGCTGCACGTTCCCGTGGGGCTGCCCCCCTGTCAAAATAGCGGCGTCCCGTTAGCACCACCAACGCCGAGTCCATCGCTTGCCTTGTTCGTTTGTTTTTCTGTGCTCAGTGCGCGGCTTTTGCCTTCTCTTTCCTTCTGCCTACCGACCGACACGCTCTCCGGCAAGCCCCCCGCGAACTTAAAAAGCCTCCATCCCAGGATCGGGAAGGAGCCCCTCTCGTGAGCCGGACTCACCTTTCGTTAGCAGGATGGCCATGGCGCACAGCTCCAGTTGCAGCCACACGAAGATGAAGCTGGAGTGGCGATCCATTTAACCCTCCCCGCACGGGCCTCGCCGCCGCCGCCGCCGCCCGAGTCTCCGCGCTCCCTCCAGGGCTCTCGTCCCCTTGAAACGCTGCAAGGCAATGCCCCGGCCGGGCACAGCGCATGGACCCCGCCGCGGGCTGCCCTGCGCGACCCGCTCTCGGCCTCGACCGGCTCCTGGCGCCGTAAGCCTCTCTCACGCGCGCCCCGAGCCCTGCTGCAGCCGCATCCGAAGCTTCGCTCCGGCCGGGGGTCGCTCCAGGGCGCTCTCACCTCGGCGCGCAGGACCAGCCACTAGCCCGGCTCCGCTCTCTGGGCGCCCCGCGCTCGCTCTGTAAATAATGCTCCCGCCCCGCCGCCTGACCCGCCTCGGCCCGCCCCCGGCCCGCCCCTCGCTCCCCTCCAGCACGGCTCCCATAGGCGGCGGCGCCGCGTCACTCAAAGCAGCGGGAAGGGGCAGAAGGTAGGATGCGTCCTGCAGCGCCAGCAGCTCCGCTTCACTTTCTCCCCGGCTTGAGCGGCGGTGTAATTAGTAGCGCAAACATGGGGGGCAAATGTAATTAAGCCAAATGAACTTCTGGGGATCCGGGAGGGGCGGGCTCTGAAGGGTGGTTACCCCCCTTTTTTAAAAAAGGCATTCCTCTTCCAAACTTGGTGCTAAAAGGCAGGAGGAATGAAATAAACTCTTAGCACCCACTTGCAGCACAGCAATCCGATCCCGGGTCCAAATCGCGCGCACGGTGTAGCCGGGACAGGAAAGGGGGACCGGCCCCAAATCTGAAGAGCCTAGAAACCGGACATGTTTGCAGTGTGTGTATGTACAAAAGCAGACTGGGGCAAGCAAGCTCTCTCTAGGAACCTGCCGACAGGGCTGCAAAGAGGCGATCGCGGGAGGCGGCTTAAGAAGCGCATCAATCCCTTTTCCCGGCGGGGAGACAGCAGCGTTTTCCCCTTTCTCCTCTGCGCACTTCCAGCCGCCGCCGCCGCCCCTACTCCTCCCGTCCCGATGATCAATAAAGCCTAGTCAGACGGACGGTTTGACCAGGAGCCCGACTGCTCGGTTGGGATATAGATGTACCAGGAGAAGACATTTAGTGAAAATTAGCAAACGCGAAAGCGCCAGGCGCCAGCGAGACGACACAGACAGAGACTGACACTCAATTATCCCCCCAAACAATCCCAGGCAAACACACAGGCTCGGCCTGATCAATATCAGCCCCAAAGCGATCTCCTTACTGAGATGCTAATTCATTTATTAGGGCACTCTCTCACCGACCGAGCAGGCAGGATTACTCTCAGCCTTTCTTTCTTTCTTTCTGTCCTTTCTTTCCACGGTTTGTTTCATGACGACTTTGGATTTACTGGGAAGCGATATGGGGGGGGGGGGGACGTAGCTGGGCCATGTCCCTGATTGTACAGCAGGTCTTATGTCTCACTATCAAGGTGCAGGTTCCCCACCATATCACATATTTAGGGCCTGTAACACTTTGCGCTGCTTTCCTGCCCCTGGGTACAAAATCATGTGGGACACAAAGCCTGATTGCAAAGTAAATCCTTCTCTGTGGTCAACGAGACACGATCCAGGTAAATATGCAAAGATCACAGGCTTGAAGGGCAAAGTTTCATTAAATTCAGAGGGTCTCACTTCATAGTTAGGCTCAGGCTGCTGAAATCACAATTTATTTTACTACGTTACAGTTCTGTACCAGCTTCCCGCCAAAGAGCTCAAAGCAGTGCGCACAATCCCACCTTCCATAATAATGCAAAAATATTATCCTCACAACAACCCTGTGAAGTAGATTCGGCTGAGAAATAGTGACTGGGCCAAAATCACCAAGTGAGCATCATAGATAAGAGGGGTTTTAAGCTTGGATCTCCCCAGGCCTAGGCCAACACTCTAAGCACTACACTGGCTCCCATATGCCACAACACCTAGTCTATGGGTAGGCAACCTGGGGACCACCAGAGGTTATTGAACTCCAGCTCCCATCAGCCCCCGCCAGCATACCCAGTAGTCGGGGTGCTGTGAGTTGTAGTCCAATAACATCCAGAGGACTCCATGACCTAGGCTAGGTACACATTAGCAGCTTAGAATACAGGGGTCACCCTTGCGTTTCAAGTCACATTTTTACTTGTTCTACACACCATTACCTGGTCACCTGGTTTGTTTCCCTGCACATTCCCTGTTTGTTTTCCCCAGCCTCCAAACCCACCCCCAAACTCGTCTTCAAGGAAGCTGTCATCTGTACATGCACAATAGTCGTCTTCAGTGTTACACACCCCAGCTTGACCATGGCTGACGTCTTCAAACTGGATGGAAGCTGGTTTGAGAGGAAACACTTCAGTCAGCTGTGTTTCCCAAGAAACTACAGGATACAGACAGATGGTGGCTAACAGCATGTGCATGTCTTCAAACTCCAGTGGTGGGAGTGCACTGGAGCCGGCTTAAACCTAGTCTTAACCCGCTCCTCTGAAACACATACCCAAAGCAGCTTTCTTCAAAATCGCCAACTGTGATTCCCAGGTAAATTGTCTCTACACTAACCAGTCAGAGCCTTTTCTGTTGTGGCACCTGCCCTGTGGAACCTCATTGCTGCTGTGAAAATGGCTGTTTGAAAAGGCATTTTATTCTTCCAATTTATCTTTGATTAGTTCTGATGGCTGTGTGCTTTTTTTGGGGGGGGAGGGAATTATTTGTAGTCCTATTCTGATCTTGTGCCTCGGGTTGGACTGAGAACTGTTATTTTAATATTGTTGTGATGTTTGGATTTCTTAGTGACCCTGAGTTTCTTTAGAAATAACAAAACATACATTTTCTTAAACAAACAAATAGCCGGGGGGGGGTGCTGCATCAGAGGACGGGGGCCACATGTCCTCTTTCCATCACACCCAGAAGTAGATTCTTGTGTGTTATTTAGCGGTACAAACACAAACAGTGACGCTGGCTGCACAACTCCACTAATCTAAGATTCTCGGATGCCTCCATGCTGTGTCAGTCTCCAGTGCCCACATGAATGCCTTTGACAGCAGCAGCTGACCAATATGCCTCGCCCTACTTTAGAAGACCATCTGTCCACAACCTTGCAATGGGATAAAGCCCCTGAAAAACATCCTCCCCGCTGCTTCAACTTATAGTCAGTCACTCAGGTGCTCCCAGCTCCACATGCTGCAGTTAGATTGCTTTTTAAAACTACTTGCAAGAAGGCTTCAGACTAATCCAGCTTCCTGGGGTGTCATCATTGGGCTCACCAGCCGTGATCTTTTCCAGCATTTGTCAGGCACTCAGAGGTATATCCCTGCTCAGTTTCTGGGTGCTTCCCTGGAGTCGCTTTTTCAGTGTTCAAAAGTCAATGGGCAAGGCATTGGCCATGATCCAAAGTACTGTGGAGTTCTGTGAGCCCAATAGGGCTTCAGGTTTGTTTCCCAGAATAGCAGCCCTCCAGGCTACATGGCAAATTACTTTTGAAATGCAGGGTGGCTAGGTTTTCTGTTGTTGTTGTTTTACAGTGGAAGTAAAAATTCTACTGAGTTAGCAGAAGCCCTGTGTGTGACCCTGCAGGAGAAAAACAGTTTTTGGAATGCCAGTCATTGTCTTAAGTAAAATTAAGTCGTTGTCATCATAGGTAATTTTGAAGAGTTGTGATTCTTTATTGCTAAAGCTTGGTTTTCTTGTTGAAAGAAAGGGGGGGGATAATGAAAACTGCAACAACCCAGAAGAACAAGTAGCTATAATCATCACACACATACACACTTGTTTATTTGAAGTATTCCCCCACCCCATGCTTCAGTCGAGAAAGGTACCCAGAGTGGCTTATAGCAAGGCAATGTCAGGCTTACAATCTACAAGGAAAAGGGGGGGAGGGGGGAAGAAAACTCAGTACATGGGTAGGCAAACTAAGGCCCGGGGGCCAGATCCAGACCAATCGCCTTCTAAATCCGGCCCGTGGACAGTCCAGGAATCAGTGTGTTTTTACATGAGTAGAATGTGTCATTTTATTTAAAATGCATCTCTGGGTTATTTGTGGGGCATAGGAATTCATTCATTCCCCCCCACAAAATATAGTCCGGCCTCCCACAAGGTCTGAGAGACTGTGGACCGGCCCCCAGCTGAAAAAGTTTGCTGACCCCTGCCCTAGTACTTAGGGTGGTCTTGTAAATGCTGTTCCTAGCAGAAGCTGTCCTGGTTTCTGATTTGATCCCAGAATGTCCCACTTTTCCTTAGGATGTCCCTATTTTCATTGGAGAAATGTTGGAGGGTATGGGCCAAATATGTCTCCCCCTTACCATGACATTCTTCCTGGGAAGCAGGGAAAACAGTCTCCCAGCATTCCCTAGTCAAGGCCACAGGCCGGACTGTGCCACCCCTTCAGTTCCACAATCTCATGGTTACTTAGGATCCAAATATAAAGCTTTTAAGGATTTGTCTACAACTGTGGACTGGTCTAGACATTATCTTGTTTGGTTTCTGTTTCCAACAATGGCTCTGCCATAATAATGGGAGGAATGTTCAGAGCAGGGTTTACCTTTTAAGTCAAATGTGTGGTGTGCCTAATTCAGTGTGCGTACGATACACGGTAATAGAAAAAAACCTGTTGCCTCAACCATGAGTGACATCAAAAGCTGGATCCTGGATATTTGTGCTAAGGCGATTGCAATAGGCATCTGCTAAAGGAATCAAGCATAGCGGAGACATGGAGCCCCACAAGAGAAAAAGAGAACGTTTGCCAGAGACCGTTTGACTCCATCCCTGAGGACTCACCTTGCTCCAGGTGCAGGTCCTTAAAAGGGCTCCTTCTGCTGCTTCCACCTCCTAGATGATTTTGGGTGCTTCACACTCTTCCTGTTACTAAATGTATTGCAAATCCATTGTTTTGTTGTTTTGAAATGCAAGCCTTTTTATTATGTATCTATCTCTGGGCATGGCTACAAAATGTTCCAGTTTTTTCTTCAAAGGATGCCAGCCAGCAATGTCTTTAAGGACACTCCATTCCATACCTCCCGCCCCCCAATTTTCCATTTTTTCATTAAGCAATATTTTTCAGAATGGTACTTTATAAGAGATGCCACTGTTTTGAATTGCAGTTTACAAAACTTATGCAGACATGCTGTTCTTTGGAATTGTACAATATGACACTGCTTTGAACTGCACTTTACAGGGAGCTTTTTGTTTGCTTGCTGCTTCGTCATGAACTGCTTTCTGTGTAAAGTATCCCAAAAATGGTATTACTGCTATGCTTGACTTTTCCATTCTTTGTATGCCTCTTCCCTGTTTACCAAACCTAGCTGAGGCAAGAGGTTTTAGCTAAGATACATCT